CTCAGATTGGTTGCTTGAGCTGGTTTGACAGTGGCTTGGATAACAGCCGAGGCAGCTCGACATTTGACTTTGCCTGGTCAGGCACTCCTCGGGCCAAGTTTGTAACCCTTCTCTAACCGAGGAAACTTGCAGGGTGTATCCTCCTCATCAGTGAATTTTCTCTTCTTCGCTCGATCGGCCGACTCCACCCCACAGCCCAGGTCAGCTTCCCAAAATGTATCATCAGCCAAGACCTCAGTGTCCGATGGTACTTCATGGGAGAGAGCCCGGGTGTCGTTGTACCGAGGCTGAAGCTCGGGGCTGGTATCTACAGTGATCGTAGCATCGTCTGAGCCCAAATCTGATCCCGAGTCTCTATCCTCTTCCAAGGTCGGGTTGACCCTGCTAGGTTTCACTGTGGGCTCGGTCAGAGTATCCTGCTTTGGCCTCTCTTGACCATTATCGGAGTCTGAGTCACTATCATCGGAGCCATCCTCACGATGTTCGTCATGCTGTTTGGTTGGTTTCTTGGTTGGTTTCTCCATGTCCAAGTCTTCTCCATCGTCATCGGAGCCATCCCGATCAGGAGTCCAGTCATCCTTAGAAAACTGTTCAGTTCGTTTCTTGGCCGGTTTGTCCACATCCAAATCCTTCCAACTGTTGTCATCGAACTGCCGATCTTCCACCCCTTCCTTTCTCTTTGGCCTGGCTTCCTCATCTGATGGTGACTCGGTTGCTGCCCGGCCTCTCCTTTGACCCTTGCTTCTGCCGGGCTTCTTGCCCTTCCCAACACTATGAACATGAGGTTTAGGAACGTGAACTTTGATTTTCCTTCGTGGAGGTGCTTCCAGCAGCATTTTCCCCTCAAGAAAGGATTTAAATCGAAAGGCGACTTTGTGTTGTTCTTGACGTTCATACCAAAACTGGAGAGCTTCAGTGACCATCTCCATCGGGAATTTGGAGGGATCAAGAAACTTGTAAAAGTTGTTACCTTCTCCATTTACTGATCTCCAAGCCGGGGGTATATATTCTAGATCAATGAAGTCAAGTAACTTTGATCCAATAGCCGTCCAAGGAGCCGATCCCTTACTCTGCCCAGCTGCAAGATCTAAGTAGACAAATGTTTAGTGATACAGGGCAAGAAATCTCTGGGGACCGGCTTACTATAGTGCTGGTTGACAAATGTACGAAGAACATTCAGCCGCCAAATTCGAATATCACGGGAAGTTT